AAACAGTTACTAATTCAATTGGTAAACGAATCCGCACTATTTCATTAGTAGAAAACTACTAATTCAGATTTAGAGAGTAAACAAAAAAATCCAAAGTAAATAAAATCTAAAATAGTAAAAAAAAAAATTGTTTCACTTTAGACTTATTTTTGGATTTTTTGTCCCGGACAAAAAGTTCAAAGAAATTAAAAATCCAATGAAAAAAAATTGAGATATAAAAATTTTAATGGTTGCCTTGAATGAAATTGTCCTTTTTTTGAGTTTTTCATTTCGATGACTGTGACTCGAAAGTAGGTAAACTGAACATTTTAAATTTCTGAAAATTAAATTAATCGAGTAATTTAATTGTAATTATATTGAGAAAAATAATTGGATTTTTGTAAAGAATTTTATCAAAATTTGTTGAAAATAATTGTATTTCTTGGAATAATTGTTTTAAAAATTTTATAGAATAATTGGAATTTTTCTGGAAATTTTTTTATTTATGAAAATAATGAAATGTTTTTGAAAAATTTTTTTATTTATGTAAATAATTAAAATCCTTCGATTTTAACATTAACATTTAACATTTACTATGGATTTTTTGACTTTGGACATTTTTATTTTGGATTTTTTGTACTTTGGAATTTTTCTTGGATTTTTGATACTAATATTTAAAATGAAATGAACTAAATTTTAATTTGAACAATTTTGTCTGACTGAAACGTAATGCTACTACTGAAACTATAATTTCAATACTTCCGTCTGACTAAAATGTAATTTTTCTAATTAAACTACAGAAACTAAAATAATTTTAGCAGTTGTGTCTGATCAAAATTGAATTATACTACTGATAATAATATATTTTTAAAAAATGCAACTAAATTTTAATTGCAACCATTTTGTCTAACTTAATTGTAATTCTACTACTCAAACAGTAATAATTTCAACAGTTTTGTTTGACTAAAATGTAATTTTATACTATTGAAACTAAAATAACTTTAACACTTCTATCTGACCAAAATTGATTCATACCACTGATGCTAATATTTTTTTTAAAAAATTGAACAAAATTTTTATTTTAATCATTTTGTCTGACTAAAATGGCATGCTACTACTGAAACTGTAACTTAAAGTTACTCATTTACTTATCTTATTTATTTATTTATTTATTATTTACTTATTTTACTAATTATTATTATCTTATAACTAATTAGTTACTTTTGTCTAATTCAGATTTAGAGGAAAATTCAATAGAGCTGTTGAAAAACAATAATTCAGATATTACAAAATTTATTAATTGCTATTGAAATAACGCGCAATTTTCATGAAACTCTCTCGCGAGAGTGATAAAATTTATGGTAAATTGAAAACCATTTTCTATATTCTGTTTTGTATTCTAACAACTGTATTTGTGAAATGCAGTTTCTCTTTTATTATTGCAGATAAGAATTGAATAGAATTTCATTTTCCATATTTTTCTTTATATTTATTGTTTACATATTTGCCTTTGGAATCCAATCATAGCTTGGGCAAAAGTGGACATTGATATTTTATTTATAAGTTTCTAGAGTTCAATATTGATTGGTCGTAATATGCCTCGATCTCTACAATAGAGAGCGAAACCTTATCGTATCTCTGGAATGTATATTACGTTAGTCTAACCGAGAAGTGTCGAATTCAAAAGTACTCGAATGATAAATTATCATTTATGGTACACGCTTTATTTTGTATTATATGCAAATTCTGCCAACTAGAGTAGATTTTATAATTTGATATCAAAATTGAATTATAAATTCTATTATTTAATGTTTCAATTAACAATACACATTGAGAATAATAGAATGTCTTTCATTTGGTAAATTTTAATTTAGTTTTTTTTCTCCTTTTTTTGGTAGTAATGAAAGGTGTAATTAATTATTCTCAAGGTATAATTTAATATTGTAATTTCACCTTTATCGTTATCTCCTATTTCCTCTCTTATGAATTCATCTGTAATGAATATTCCATAGAGATTTTAAATCAAATTAGATTACATTAAATTGTAGTTAATTAATTTATATAAATTTATTGAATTTAAAATTCGTTAATATTTATGTAAATTAATTAAATTTGTCGATTTACAAATATTTGTGGGCATTGATTGAAATATTATTTAAATTAAAATATTTAAAAAATAAGATAATTTTTAAAAGCAAAATTTTAGAATTTAAATTCTAAAATTCTAAAAATTCTATTTTAGAAGTTAAATTATTTACTGTGGCAATTATTTTTAGTAGACTTTTAGAAAATTTCAATTCTTTGCAATAATAAATCGTATTAATACAATATTTAATTAAAGAAATTACATTAAAAAAATATTAATTACAAGAATATGGAAATAATTATACAAAAGTTAATTAGAATGTTCGGTAGTACAATATTTGATATGATAGTTCATTGTTAGAAATATTATAAATTTTTCCCTTTTATCAAAGGAGAATTTTTTTCTTTTTGTCTTGTATCAATTAAAGTGTCTGGTGTATCTTCCTGTTCTGAAGTGTAGAAAGCAAAGTCGATTGACGAGGAGGAAGTTGAGGTGAGAGGGAAGGTGGGGGGTAGGGGAGTTTGGATAAGGGTGAAATGCCTTTGAGTGGAAACCACAGACCCGCGAAATGAGTTCTCACGACGAGGATCTTATTTCAGGATTGAAGGAAATTGAAGAACCGTCATTCGCAGCACACCACTCGCTAATTTTGCCTTGAAGGTGAATAAAAAAGGGGAAAAAAATTTAAAAAGAAAGAAATTTCTTTACTCTACGAAAACAATGTTAACCGACTTCTGAAGGTAAAATGTGTACAAAGATAGAGGAGAGAATGAATTGGATAAATATTCCTACTAGAATTTCTTTTTCCGTATTAAAAAAATATATTAGGGTTGCCACAGGACATGAAAGTCAAGGAATTCAGGGAAAAGACTGGGATTTTTATTAAAAGTACAGGAAAAAATTAAATTTTTCAATTATCTTTATAAATAATAAAATTCTTCTTCGAAATTCAATTATTTTTCAAAAATTTTCCTCATTTTAATTATTTTTAATATCTATTTTAATATAATTTTCCAAAAGAATTCAATTATTTAAATAAAATTTTAATAACAGTTTCACATGAATTCAATTACTTACCAATTTTTTTTATAAATTTCTTCGAACCAATTCTATTATTTTTAATTTTCTAATGAAGTTTCTCGAAAAAATTTAAATAAATGCAGAGAATTGAAAAAAATAGTTCTTATAAATTCAATTATTTCGAAAAATTTAAATAAAATTTTTTTAAAAGTTGTATTATTTAAAAAAATTTTGACAAAATTCTTTACAAGATTTAGTTAATAAAATTGCAATTTTAATAAAATTTTTCTATACAATTCAATTATTTTTAATACAATTCTTCTTAAGAATTCAATTATTTAAAAAAAATTGGAATAAAGTTCTTCATAAGAAATTAATTATTTTCATAAATAATAAAATTTTTCTCGAGAATTCAATTATTTAAAAAAATTTCGATAAAATGTTTTATATAAATTTAAAAAATTATAATAAAATTGATCATAGAATACAAGTAGTTTCGTAAAATATAACATTCTTCCTAGGAATACAGTTATTATAAAAAATGTTTGTAAAAGTCTTCGGAACAATTCAATTATTTTCGTAAAAAATAAAATTCATCGAAGCAAATCAATTATTTAAGAAAATTTAATAAAATTCTTCCCAAGAATTCAATTCTTTTTAAAAATAAACATTTTCAAAGCAATTCAATTATTTAAAAAAATGAGTTTTTTAATTCTTTGTAAGATTTCAATTATTTTCAATTTTTTAATGAAATTTCTCGATAGAATTGAATTATTTTCAAAAAGTTCTAAAAAATTCTAAGAAATTCAATTATTTTAAAAAATTTGAATAAAATTCTTCAGAAGAAATCAATTATTTTCATAAATAATAAAATTTTTAACTCGAAAATACAATTATTTAAAAAAAATTTGATAAAATTTTTTATATAAAGAAAAATTATAATAAAATTGATTATTGAATACACTTAGTTTCGTAAAATATAACATTCTTCCTACGAATACAATTATTGTCAAAAATGTTTATAATAATCTTCGAAAGAATTCTATTATTTTCTTAAAAAATAAAATTCTTCGAAACAAATCAATTGTTTAAGAAATTTTAATAAAATTCTTCCCAAGAATTCAATTCTTTTCAAAAATAAACATTTTCAAAGCAATTCAATTATTTAAAAAATTTTTTTTTTTAATTCTTCGTCAGATTTTAATTATTTTTAATTTTTTAATGAAATTTCTCGATGGAATTTAATTATTTTCAAAAAGTTCTAAAAAGTTCTGAGAAATTCAATTATTTTAAAAAATTTCGATTTCTTCATGTTTTATAATAATATTCTCACAAGTTATTGAATTTCAAAAAGGTTTGAATTTGAAAATTTTAATTCCTATAGAAAAATAGTAATGATTAAATATTTAATTAAAAAAGAAGTTATTGACGTTTTCTAATAATTTTACTTTTGAAGAAATTTGTAAATAAATGTAATAGAATATAGAACCTTTTTTTGACTATCTAATAATTTTTGGAGTGAATCAGAATATTCTTCAGGGTCAGGGAAAAAGGCAAACCTGTATATGAAAAATTGAGTTGAATTCATTTATTGTTATTATTCATTTATTCTTATTTTGAAAGTCAAAAAAAAAGTCTTAAAAAGAGAAATTTGTCAGAGTATTGTGTGTAAAATCAGGAAATTTTATAAAAAGCATCAATTTTGAAATTTCCCGACATTTTTAATTTTAATTAAAAATTTGAATTTATTTATTTTCTATACTTTTCAAATTTTTAATTTTAAATCCCGATCTAGTGGGAGTTTCAAGCGAATTTAATTAATTTTTTGAAAATTGTTGTTCGTTATACTATGGTTTCTCGAATTGTGAATTTTTAAATTTTTCTTTGTTAGTTGTAAGATGAAATTAAAAGTTGTTTACCTGAGATTGTAGCTGACTAGGGAAACATGAACAGTGTCGTAAACACGTCCTCGGAGAATAAGGCGACAAGTTGTAGATTTTAATTTTCCGCGAGTGTCATGATGGCCATCTCTGACTTTATCGCCACTTACTTCTAATTCACAGCTACTCGATGATTCTTGATCTTTTCGATGATCTTGTAAATCACGATTTGTGTATCGCATTTCATGATTACTGCTGATGCTTGGCGAGCGAATCATTTCAATTGCGAACGGCATTGCTAAATTGTTTTCAATTAAAAAGAAAACAGAAAATTTAATTAATTTATCATTTTTTGCAAAGTTAGAAATCTATTTCTTTTTATGATTTTTTTCGTGGTACTGAATTTGATAAAATATTCCCTAAAACTGAAATAATTTTAATACTTCTGTCTGACCACAATTGATTTATACTACTGAAACTAATATTGAAAATTATTTTTTAAAAATCTTAACAAAATTTTTGTAATTTTTGCATGAGCAGTTAAATTAAAAGTTTTAGTTAATTTTCGTTTCAGATGAAATTTGTTTTTGTTTAAAAAACCGATTTACATTTTTTAAAAATGAAAATTCCTCTTGAACTACGAACATGTTTTTTATATTTGATGAAAATTTATAACTACAAGCAAAAGTTAAATTTAGTTTTTATATTTTATTTCGCCCAAAAAAAAAGAACTTACGTGTTCTACTTGTACTTTCCGCTGCTATTGTTGTTGGAGCTTCAGTGGTTAATTCGAGAAAATTTAAACTCGCAATGAAACCATTGTAGTTATATGGTGGTACTTCATATCCAGATCTAAAAAAATTTTTTATCGTAAATATATAGGAATAATTTATTTAGTTCGTTATTTATTCATTTATTTTTTAGTTGGGTATTTATTCATTTATTATTTAGTTCGATATTTAGGCTGTTTTCGGTATGATCATGGATCGCGATCCGGATCACAAAGTAACCAATCACAGCATAGGAAAAGTGATCTGGATCACGATCCATCGCGATCCATGACCATGCCGAAAACGGCCTTATTCATTTAATTCTTAGTTAGTTATGTATTCTTTTATTTTTTTTACTTAGTATAAAATTTGAAAGTAAAAATAATTTGGTTTCTGGAATAAAAATAAGAACATTAACAATGAGTGTAGGGGTATAGTTTGAAACTTACCGAAATTCAACGAGAAGGTCATGTCCGACATGTGTGACGTAAGCTTTTTCATTTCCACAAAGCATTTTTAAGAGAGGACTAGTGGTCGCTGATCCAGCGTAGACAGCGATATAATCATTTGTACAATGGCTGGAACAGAAAAGCGAGAAGGTTGGATTAAAATTTTCAATTTTCTCTTCTTCCTTTTTTTTCATTTTATATATTTTCTTATATTCCTTTGATCATAAAAAAAGCTTAGATATATATAATAAAAATACTGGGGGATAATCTAAACTAATGGATTTTAGAGATGGTGGAGGAAAGAGGGATTATGGTGAAAATATCTTCATATATCTTTTATATTTATCCCTATGTGGATAATTTTTCTGAAAGTGACACTTTTGTAGTTCGATTTTTCTATTTATTATTTTTTTTCCAATTATACCGTTTATATAAGTTATAACTTATACGGGCTCGAACTAGGTCCGAAAATCCCGTAAAAGTCCGTAAATTTGCTTAAAGTCCGTAAAAGTCAGATTTTTTGAAAAAAGGTCCGTAAAGTCCGTAATTTGATGGAAAAAGCACGAAAAGTTCGTAAATTGTACGATATAATTTGGAAAATTTTAGAGAAATTACAAATGATAGCAGAAATTCAATTATTTTCAAAAGCAATAAAATTCTTCGCAAAAATTCAATTATTCAAAAAATTTTTTAAATTATCGTCAAAATTTCAATTATCTTTAGAAATGATTAAATTCTTCTCCAAAATTAAATTATTTTCAAAAATTTTAATAAAATTCTTGGCAAAATTTCAATTCTTTTCAAAAATTTTCCTCAATTTGATGATTTTTAATATCTACTATTTTTTAATAAAATTTTCCAAAAGATTTTAATTATTTAAAGAAATTTAAATATACTTAACGCAAACCTTTAATTATTTTCATAAAATAACAAAAATTTCACAGGAATTCAATTATTTACAAATTTTATTATAAATTTCTTCGCAATTATTTAATTATTTTCATAAATAATTAAATTTCTACAGGGATTCAATTATTTTAGTAAATAATAAAATTCTTTTTATGAATTCAATTATTTTCATAAATAATAAAACTCATTGCAAAATTTGATGTAATTTTATTACAATTTTAATCGAAATTCTCGAAAAATGTAATTATTATTAAAAGTTTTATTAAAATTCGTTAAATAAATTAAATTTTAAGAAACATGCATTAATTCAATAAATGGTTTTTTTTGTAATTAAATAATTGAATTCTTATAGAATTTTCTAATGAAAATTGATTTAAAAATGGATTTCAGTTAAAATTTTAGATTATAATTGAATATTAAAAGCATTAGAGCGTGAATTTTTAGAAATAATTGAATTTTGAAAAGGTTTGAATTTGAAATTTTTGAAAATCTGAATTTTTAATTTTTTTTGACTAACAATTCTGTGGAATTAATTTTTTTGAGAAAGTTTAATTGCGGATTTTTTTTTTGAAATTGTAGATTGTAAATTATAAAGAAATTAGTTTTAAAATTCTCAAACAAGTTTTGTAAAAATTATTAAAAATAATGATTTTGTAGAAGAATTATAGTTAAAAACACGAGAAGAAAATTTAATTTTGGGAAAGTTATTGTAGAAATTCAATTATTTTCAAGAGTAATTATAATGTTCACAAAAAATAAATAAGTATTGTTCAAAAATAATAAAATTCTTTCTAGAGATTCAACTTTTTTTTCACAAATAATAAAACTCATCTTAGAATTTCAATTATTTTTTCAATTGAATTTTAAGAAACATTCAATTATTCAATAAACTATTTATTTTTGTATTTAAATAATTGAATTCTAGTATAAAAAAAATTCAATTGAACTTTTTCAAAAAAATTAATTTTAAAATTCAATTATTATCTAAAATTTTAACTGAAATTCATTTTTAAATCAATTTTTATTAGAAAATTCTAAAATTTAATTTTGGAAAAGTTATTGTAGAAATTCAATTATTTTTAAGAGTAATTATATTCTTCGCAAAAATTAAATATTCTTTAAAAATAATAACATTCTTTTTAGAGATTCAATTGTTTTCACAAATAATAAAACTCATCCCAGAATTTCAATTATTTTTAATACAATTTTAATCGAATTCCACGAAAAATGTAGTAATAACTCTTAAAAATGTTATTAAAATTCGTGGAATGAATGCAATTATTTAAAAATTTTTGATGGGAATTGAATTTTAAGAAACATTTAATTATTCAATAATAAAAATAATTTAAATTATTTACTTTTGTATTTAAATAATTGAATTCGAGTGAAATTTTCTAATAAAAATTTATTTAAAAATGAATTTCAGTTAAAATTTTAGATAATAATTGAATATTAGCAATATAGCGCGAATTATTAGAAGTAATTCAATGTTGAAATTAATTTTTTTTCGAAAAAGTTTAATTGAATTTTTTTTATATTATTTGAAGTTTTTATTTTCTAATATATATTTAGGGTAGAGCGGGGCTAGTTGAGCATAGGGGTAAGTTGAGCAACCGAAATATCTCAGGCTCTATAAATTGGCCGCTAATTTTTTCAATGCCAGAAAGAAGCAGGCGCAGGAGGGAACATAACTGCGCAAGTGCCTGCTTCTTTCTGGCATTGAAAAAATTTAGCGGCCAATTTATAGAGCCTGAGATATTTCGGTTGCTCAACTTACCCCTATGCTCAACTAGCCCCGCTCTACCCTAACTGAAGAATTTGCGACTAATTAAAATTTCGTAAAATAGAATATTGTAAACAAATTGATTTAAAAATTGTCAAAGAACTTTTTCGAAAATTTTTAAAAATAATCTATTTAAAGAAGAATTTTAGTTAAAAATGCTTGAATCTTCTTTAATTATTATAAAAAATTTAATTTATAGTTTTAAGTAAAATTTTGTCTTATTTGACTCGGAATGTATTAATATTTTTGTCAGTAATTGGTTCGTAATTTTTCATTTTTGTTCCTTAAGGTCCGTATTTTTCCATATTTTCACTGATTCGAGCCCTGTATAAAAAAATTAGACAAAAAATGAATCAAAATTTTTGCAAAACAACATTTTGATACGTTTTTTTGTCCAAATTTGATATTCTTAAAAAAAACAGAGTTTTTATAGCTTTTGAAAAATTTGAATCGAATTTTTTTCCACATTTTTTATCGTCTATTTATAATTTTTAAGAAAAAGGAGAAAATCACATGATCTATAGGTATGGAAATTGTAATATATCTGAATTTTGAAATATTGAGGACAGTATTATATGTAATAATGTGCATAAATTTAGCAAGTGACTCATTTTCTTTATTGCCAAAATTGCGCCTATCGTTCTCTCGACGGAAATCCTATGAAAGTTCACGTGGATGAACTGAGGATATACTTCAACAAGACTTCCGGAACTTTTGCCGTTAGGAAAATATGTAATATTACCAGTCAGGCAAGTCGGCTGTGCTGAATTAAGGAGAGGACTGCGTAATTTATTTTATGAGAAAACTTCATCATCATTTACTCATCTCTCTCTCTCTCTTACTCTCTCACCCTCTTTTTCTCTCTCTTTATCTTTTTATCTCTCTCTCTCTCTCTCTCTCTCTTTCTCTTGTGGTTCCTTACTTCGTAGACTCTTGAGAAAATGTGATTTTAATCTTGCAGCCAATTAAGAGCCATTAAATACAACTTATTGTTTAGTATATACATAGAGTATGTAATGAAACGATCAGGGAGAGTATTTTCATTAAATTCCGATTAATCACATTCTTAAGAAATTTTACTTTGAAAAATTGGTTCAAATTTTCTCTTTTTTAGTCTCGTTAATCTGAATTAGTATAACCTACTAGTGTAGATTTAAATTAATTAATTAATAAATATTTACTTGAATTAAATAATTTTTATTTAAATCAATGAACGGTATTTGATTCAAACAGTGGAATTATTGGTTGAATTATACAATTTATTTGATTTAAAATAAAAATTATTTTATTAAAATAAATATTTATTTGATAATAGACAAATTAATATAATAGAGAACATAATTTTTTTGGCGTAAAGTTTTCAAATAAAGGTACGAAGAAACTTGGTCACCTTTTGTATTTGCAAACTGTTATGTATGTTTTTTTTAAGTTTTTGTTTATTTTTTTTTAGTTTTCATTTTTATTTTTTTTTGCTTCTCTTATTATTCTTGAGATTTCGCTGAGTTCTACGAGTTTAAGAACATGTTTGAGTGGGTCCTTTTTGCCTTCTTTTCATTCTCTTTACAGTCAACTCCAGGAAAATCCATTCCTTGGCATTTCTATTATTAAAGAACTTTTCTAGTCCCCCTTTTATTTCTCGTATTGACCACGGAAATAGTTTTACACCATTTTCTGCCTGGGCAACATCAACGGCAGAAAATCGGATTCCTCCAGCTCCATTTCGTACCGATCCCTTGTGCGACGGGTAAAAAAAAAGTTTTTGATATTTTATTTTTTTCTTTTTTGAAAAAAGGATGAAAAAAAATTGGTATATTGTAGCCACGGTATGTACGTTACATTTATATATATTTATATATATATATATATTCTGAACGCCTTCCGAATCCATGAAACCCAAGAGGAAAAAATAAATTAGAACTGTCAAACTGAATAGTAACTACGCGACAGATCAATTTTATTTCTATCCGACAACTTTTTTATATATCATACTTCGTCCCATTCTACAGTCCCAATGTATAAAAACTTTTTTCATTATAATATGTCGAAAAAAAAATTTAATTATACGTTTCTATTTAATTTCTGGAAAATGATGTGAAAAAAAATTAACGAGTTATTGTAAATAAAAGAATTTATCAAATTAATTTTATTGTGATGAATGCGAAAGCTGAAGGTTTTTAAGAAAAATACATATTCTGTTATCTTAAGTAAATATTTTTCTTTGAGTAAATATTTATGTGTATAAAATATTTATTTAGTATAAAGAAACATATTTTTTTATTTATTTATAATAAATATTTGTTTTAAGAAAATATTCCATTCAAATAAATATTTATTTGTTTCTATATATATATTTTTCAGTATAGTAGGTATTATTTTATTTATTTTGATTTAATTTGAAGCAATCATAATTTTTTTTCTATATATGTAACAAAAAAGG